GGCTGTAATTTTTTATAACATCATGCCTTACCATCAAAAAAGTCAAAAGTGGTTCGTTTTCACTCGGTTTTTGGTTTAGTTTCCATGGCTGGTTTTATATTTTCGGTTTGATTTACTTGTAAATTTTCCATAGCTATTTTTCCTTATCCTCCCAACCATGTTTTTCTAATAACTCTTTGACTGGGTCGGGTTCTATTTTACCAGTTTGTAAATCTAAACTCATGGTTGCTTCTCCCTGTCCATCCCTGATTAAAAGGATGTCTCCTGAACCAATGCCACAAATAAATTCAACTTCTCCCGCTTTTATCTTTTCTCCTAACATAATTAATAATTGCCTGCTGGTTGGTTGAATTGTTGGCTGTTTATTATCCTTTTTAATTAATAATTCAATATCACTATCAATTGCTTTTAAATAATCAGCACTATTGCCATAATTGGTAATATTTAGGTGTTCAGGCTGGTAATTGGCTCGCATGATTGATTTATACAGAAGATAAGCCTTTAAATATTTACCTCCCGCATATTCTTTTAATCTTTCCATAGTTTCGATTTCTTTTAATTCATCAAGTTTTCTAAATAGATAATTTAAGAGTTTTTTTTGAGCCTCATTCTCGGCAGTATTCTGATTGATTAATTGCTGGATTTTTTGTTTAATTTTTGTTATTTGAATATTTGTATTTTCTTTCATTATCTTCATAAAGTTTCTTGGCACAGTCATTTTTGTTACAGTGATAAATGCCAAAATGCCTACTTATTTGCTCTTCGTCTTTGACTTTACAATATTTACATGCTTTATTCATACTTTTATAATTCTCCGTGCTTTAATAATGCTTCCTTAACTTCACTAAGTTTCAAATTAGGGTGTTTTTCTATAAGTTTAAAAGGCTCCTTTCCGGTTGTTTCCTCGCAACTTTTACAATAATATCAACCATCCGCTTTTAGGACTACCTTTTCCATAATTTTCTTTTTCTCTACTTCGGCTGGATTGTTATCATCTTTTTTTAAATCTGGGTCGTCCTTATCAATTACCCTGATTAAAAATAACTTGCTTAATATGTATTTCATGGCATAAGTTTCGGCTGAACCTTTGGCTTTGGCTAAATCGGTGTTGTCTCCGCAGGCTCAAAACTTATAAACTTTGGACTGTCCGCTTTCTTGGTCGCTCACTTCCACCTTTTTTAAATATCTGATAAAGTGCTTGTTGGTTCCTTCCCTTTCCCATTGAAAAGGCTGGGTATCGTCATCAGTAATTTCCAAGGTTATTTTTTTACTCTTTAAAAGTGGCTTTAATAACTTTAATAATTAGCTTTCCTCGAAATATTTATAATGCTGGTGTTTATTTTCCTCATCTTTGATAATACTTGGAATGTCTGCCTGTATCTGGCCTATTTTGGTTAATAATTCTTTATTTTCGGTCATGGTCTTTTATTTTCTTATTATTCATTATTAATGGGGAGTCTTTTTTTTGCCTATTTCTGCCAATACATTCCTGATTCTAGTTTGGTAATAAGTGATTTCCTTTTGGTATTTGTCTAAAACTTGGGCGATTTGGATTAATTTCTCTAATTTAGGCTGGTTAGGAAAGAGTTTAATAATTTGCTCTTCTTTGCTTCCTAACTGTCAAACATCGGTTCCTAGACAAAAAACATGATTTCCTAAAAGGGTTTTTTTATTTACTTCGCTAGTTGAATTATTTGGGTTATTTCCTTGGTTATTTTGGTTCATAGTTGATAATATTCATTAATTAAAGTCTCTAATTCTTGTTGTAATCTTTCTGGGGTGGCTCCATTTAGTAATCAGTCCAAATTGACTTCTCCGGTGAAAGCCAAATCCTTTTTCAATAAGTAATCAGGGTCAGCATCCATTTTTTTTACTTGCTCGCGATAAATATTAGTTGCTTCATCCAGTTCAGTAATTAGCATATATAACTCTTTCTGAGTGGCCTTAATTTTTTCATCAATTTCTTGTTTTTCTTCTTCGGTTGGTAGTTTAAAAGCTTGTTTTTCAGATTCATACCTAAGTGGAACCAAAACATAATTCTGCTCTTTTATCTTTTCTAAATTAGCACCGGTCCAATTATCTTTATTACAAATCTGCTGAATATTTTCAGCACTTAAAAATCTTTGCTTATTTTGCCATTCACTAAACTTTTCTGCGTTTAGAAAATAGATGTCTTGACTGGTTTTGTCTTTATTTATCAGTCATAGAGTAGGGGCAATGCCCGTTTGGTTAAATAAATGGCTGGGTAGTTGGCAAACTAATTCTAAACATCCACTTTCAATAATTTTCACTCTTTCAGCAACTAGTTTAGGATTTAGAGCAGAATTTACACCACTGGGTAAGATTATTAAGGCTTTTTTTCTTGTCTGGGCGATTATTTTATTAACTCAGCAATAATTTTCATCCGTTAACTGGCAATGTTTCTTTTTCTGATTAAAGGGAATATTAGCGATAGTATAATCACTTTCTTTACTTTCACTGGCTAAATAATCGCCAAAAGTGATGGGGAAGGGAACTTGTAAATT